ACAACCCAGATGAGCCTCTAGTACGGAAATGGGCAGACTATGCATAAATGAGAGAAATGTTATACAGCCATTAAATATCTTGTTTTCAAAGAATATTCACTAATATGGGAAAAATAAAATACATATGAACATGTATTAATCTACAATTGCTAGCCAGGCACGGTGGCTTGTGCCTGTGATCCTAGCACTCTGGGAGGCCAAGGCAGGAGGATCGCTTGAGCTCAGGAGTTGGAGACCAGCCTGAGCAAGAGCGAGACCCTGCCTCTACTAAAAATAGAAAAATGAGCAGGGCATGGTGGCATGTGCCTGTAGTTCCAGTTACTTGGGAGGCTGAGCCAGGAGGATTGCTTGAGCCAAGGAGTTTGAGGTTGCAGTGAGCTATGACTGTGCCACTATACTCTCACCCAGGTGACAGAGTGATACCCCGTCTCTTTATAAGAAAAAAAGTACTCCTTTTAAAAAAGCATGATTAAAAAAAAAAACCACAGAATCAATGCATGGTAATGTAATGCAACGGTTAAACAGAATAGAAAACCCTCTAGTTCCCAAATGAAGAATTTCTAAAAGAAGTCATTTTCTGATTATCTAAGAACTACATTCCATTCTACAAAGTCCCAACTGAGGCTTCTAGATGGTTATTTACATAAAGCAAGAATGTCATCATTACAAAAAAATCTGTTCTAGCATTTTTTTTTTTTTTTTTTTGAGACAGGGTCTTGCTCTGTTGCCTGGGCTACAGTGCAGTTGTGTTATCATAGCTCACAGCAACCTCAAACTCCTGGGCTCAAGCGATCCTTCTACCCCAGCCTCCCGAGTAGCTGGGACAACAAATGGGCGCCACCACACCTAAGTTTTCCATTTTTTGTAAAGATGGGGGTCTTGTTGATTGCTCAAGCTAGTCTCAAACTCCTGCCTCAAGTGATCCTCCCACCTCAGCTTTGCAAAGTGCAGCACACACAGCCTGCAGTATGTCTTAATAGCTCTCTTCTCTGTAAGAAATGGCACCAAGCTGGAATGCCTGAGGAAGCTTTGGGGCTTCCTTAGATCCTGGGTGTAATTTCATTAGCTTAATTTTTTAAGGACATCGAGTTAGACAGTGACTTTTTTCAAAGCCTGCAATCAAAGCATTTCCACATCCAAAGTGTTTCCACAGAAGGATGTGGTTATAAAACCATTTCTGTCATTAAGAACACAGCTGAATGCCATACCTCCGTAAAAGTGTATCCCATTCATTTGGGAATTAGATCTTTCCCACCCCACTGGAGAGACAGCTTGTTGTAGTGGAAAGCATACTCATTAAAAGAACAGGTATCTCTCTGAGATCTTGACTTCAATTATTTTGGATATACCACCCAGAAGTGGAATTACTGGATCATATAGTAGTTATATTTTTAATTTTTTGAGGAACCTTTATAGTTTTCCATCATGGCTGCACCATTTAACATTCCCACCAATAGTGTACAAAGGGCTCTAACTGCTCCATACCCTTGCCAATTTTTTTTTTTTTTTTTGAGACAGAGTCTGGCTCTGTTGCCC